ACCTCTTGTGCTCGCAGCCTACCCACTTAGCACCGCGTCATGGGTCACCAAGCAATATCATTGGTTAGTATATCAAAGATGAGTCGCTGCACTTCAAGAAATGATCGGTTTCTATCTTCTCAATATATTATCGAGCAAACAGTGACGAGGATTGACAAAACAATCTGCTAGATGGAGAAAATCCATGGGGAAGAAATTATTGATTATTTGAGATGAAATTATTCGTAGAAGATAATTTTACGGCCATAATCATATTTTTTATATTTCTTTTTAGGCATCTGGTAGCAGTTGTGAAGGCGTGGGTCGAGTGCAGTGATTCTGACTCTGACTCAGAAGACGAACGGCCTCTGAGCATCACAAACGAGCATGGCACCAGTAGATTACCTTCTAACTACAGTGAATCGCAGGCTCCTACTCTTAGGATTCACATGCCTGATACGGGCCATGTGATCGTGAATTCAGCTTATGACAACATGGACAGACTTCAAAATGTACTTACTGGATCAGCACTATTCCTTGGCAAACTTCAGCACAGAAAAAAAAACCCAAAGTTTAATTTTGAAAAGTATATCTCATATCTTGATAAAGTTTCGAGGAATGTTGGCTTCTCGATCGGTGTGGTCCCGGTGACCTGGGAACTAGTGTCGACTTTGTTTTTCTTCCTCATCTCGCTGATTGCTCTGTTTGTACAGGAATCCATATTTGGAAAAGCCAAGAGCACGATAACGATTTGAAATTATTTGAATTTATCATTTGTGCCAGCAGAACTTTCTAGAAATGATAATATTTATCTTAATAACAATATTGATGATGACGACGATAACAATGATAATAATAATGAAGGAAAAATGACCAAAAAATAAGGAAAAAATAAAAATAAATTCATAAATATTTTCTTATTGTTTTAAGAAGGGCTGATGTACAAAACAACTTCCCGGAATGAGGTCGAAAATTTTGTGCATGTCCTAGCTCAGCTAAGGCGGCCGTCTTTTGCAAAAGAGCACTATGAAGTCGACAATAATTGAAAATTTTAGCAAATGAAACACCAAAGTTATTTTCTCATTCTTTTAGGAAAAAGAATATTCTAATTCAATGACCCAATAAAAAATCTGATTGTCCTCTCTGCCATTTTTTATAATCTGTATTTGTTCTCTTGTTTTGACCACGAGATGTTCTGGTAAGTGAAGTGGCATGTCTCATTATTCCTCGTCTTTAACAAATTGTCCAATCAAAAACGCTTTTTATTGTATCAGTCAACCAATCAGGGCGCCTTTTCTTGTGGCTCTTCATGCACAGTAGATCCATATTCAATGACTTACTTGTTTCCCGCTGCAGCCGCTCTCTTGCCTCGATAATTTTCTGACTGAGGGAATCTTCGAGTTTCAAGTTTTAAAGTAACACGTTCAGTTGAGAGGTAACTTTATTTTCTGCACTTAAAAAGTTAGTTTAAAACTTTGTTTAGCGATTGGCGTTATGTATGACTTCATGTAACGGCGGACTTAAGTTCAAAAGTACCAAAGGCTAACTTTTGTTACGTTTTCTGACCGCCTTTATCGTCTATTTATGGCATGATTACCAAATAACAAAGGTCTGTGCTCAATTTAAAGTCTCGGGAGCGACGCAATTACAAGATTTAGACGAAAGAAATTTCGTTTTTTAAGGTTTGTTTACCGCAAAAACTAAAACTACATACGAAGTTGGTTTCGGTTTAGTGACGGTCTGATATTCGAGAAGAATTCATCTCTGACGGATCTTTAACGGAATATTTGCGAGCTATTTAATGAAACACTTCATGGTGAAGAATAAAAGTCATGTTTCGAACACCAGAAGTACATAATCTTTTGAAAAAATATGGAACAATATACTTCCGTGATTGCGACATTTACCATACAGAGTATTGCGTGACCCCGACATCCGGTAAAATTGCTCCAAAAACACGCTATTTTGGGTGGAATGTTGCTTCTCTTTCTCAAAATGGTGTTTCTTTCTTAAATGTACCACCAGAAACAAGTTGAAAAATATGTTTCCTATTATCGATAACAAACTGGAGAGATTTTGTCGCGATTTAAGCACGGCATTTTCACACTTTCCTACGTGGGTTTGATGCAATAAATTTTTAAAAGCGTGACCGGCCGGGAAACTACTGCATCGAGGGAAACTGAGCTTGTTCGACAGCACACGCTTGGAATAATAATTGTACTGCCAAATTTGAACACAGGAACAAATTTTCCGCATTTTGATATATAATTCGTAAGGTTTGGCACTGATTACGGCAGGGGAAAATGACTTCGAAATTCTTCCATATTGTTTTCTTTGTTGTGTTTGCGTGTTGCACGACGGTGACCACAGTAGGTGATCATTTTGGAGGTCAAAATGACGATTCAAACGCAAATTTCAGCCAGCAGAATAGACCTTCGTATACTTACGAGATCAACAAGTAAGTGCTCTTATAAAATATTTATTTTTATTTGTTATCGAGCTTTCAATCGTAAAAATTTCCGAAATACTGAATAATATTGCCCTTTTCTGTCTTTTCTTCTTACAGTTATTTAGTTCACATCAGTTCGAAAGAAAACGAAAATGATGTTAAAGGAAACGGGCATTCGAGGTTTCGTTGTTAATAGTCGAATTATCACTACAATCAGGAAAAAAAATTGGACGTTAAAAGGAAGATCGATTCTGCCAGAAAGGAGGGAGGTGCGTGCATGAGGAGGCTATGGAGTGACAAAAAGACTTAAAATTGAAGAAAAGCTGCAACAAGCCCTTGCCAGATCAGAAAAGTCCTGTGGGCATTACAAGAACTTAACTGTATTATGGCTTGGCTAGCTAATTAGATATGCATAATATTAGAAAATGCAATTTAGCATGGTTCGGTTTAATCAAGACGCCTAAAACCTGCATTACTAGTATAGAAATATCGTCATTAGCAATAAGACATCGGGTCACGTGACCTCTATTAGCAAATCTAAAATGAGGTGAGTAAAACAAAAAGCAACGTTCCTTTTTGTATTTTTCAAAGGCTTTCAAGGATTTTTTTTGAAGTCTGCCTTTTAGGAATGTATAAGTCATATGCAAATCAGAAAATAAAAAAAATAAAGAGGTCACGTGACTATGGACTTGGTTAAATCCCTCACAGCAAAAGTAGAATTTTCAACCTTAAAAGGCGGGAGAATCATTTACGCAGTCTTTGTAGCATATGTCTCAAAAACACTCTGGGATTGAGGTTTGCAAATTTACCCCGTTTGAGGAAACGTGTTTTGTGACGTCACCGAAAAAGAAATGTCACATCACATTTGAAATCACGAGGAACCTGTTTTTTCTTTGAAAAAAACTTTATAGATCACTTTGATGAATCGTTGCGAGCATCAAACCAATTAAAGTAGCATTTTACAAATTATGTATATTTAATTGGGTAGCCAAGCCGTAATACAGAAGAGATTTAAAACTTTGGTCAGGAAAGTTACTAAAATGAACAAGAAAAATTCAAAAGGAACGCAAAGAATAAACGTTTCGGTGAATACTCACAAAGGCACCAGGCTAGAATTAAAACACAACGTAAGGAACAGTGCTATTGGACGCTTGCTTTCAGAGCTGGAAAATCATAATACCCAATTTTCAATTTTCATTGCATTGCCGACGTTAAACAACATGGTTGCCATTATTTTGATGAGAAATTGAGTGAAAATGACGAGATTTTTCAAGTTACACGCATAATTAATTGCGTATGGATTATCATGATTTCTGAGCTGAGACAAACACGAACTAAAATATCTCGAAGCAGATTAATCCAATGGAAACAAAATTTGGAGTGGAGGCTTAATTCCTTTGCGACAGTGGTAGATTCCTCTTAACTTGATCGCCTCAGCACCCCCTTAAATTCTATATATTCCACGAATTCCACAATCATCAGCACAATTCTGGTATTATTATCGGAATCTATTAAGAATTCTGTGCAATCTCTAAAAATAACCAAGATCTCTTCATATGTAAAAATTTGTGACTGAATGAGTTTGAATCTTTAGACGAGCAATCGTGCGCGCAAAATGCTGTCCTCGCATATGTATCATTCACCATAACAAACGCGAAGTAAGAATTTACATTTTATATTTTAGTTATTTGTTTATTTATCTAGCAGGAAATTTCGAGTTAGAGTTTATTCGTAAAAAAACATACAGTAACTCCTACTGATAGAGAGTAATTGCAGAGACTGGTTTCTAAAATCTCTGGAAATAAAAAGATTTTTTTAAATATTAAAGTGGAGAAAGTTTGCATTGTACTTTTTATCCTGATAGAGCGTCACAGGCCGTTAAAAGTCGGTAACTAATACTAAGACAAAACTATAGTGAATCGTAAGAAAATAAGATTGACGAAGCTGAAACTTTACTGAAACTTGGCTCAATTTGCTTGTTTTCCTATGGGAACAATAAAAATTACCTACCCTTTTTATAACATGTAACATTTTCAGACGTTCATCTACATAATAATACAGCAAGTACTATGTTATGAATACCCGTTTTGTTTGCTCTTGCGACGGCTGTATGTTCCCATCTGTGGATTAAGATTTGTTTTCTCAAGAGGCTGAAATATTTTATAATATTTTGATGAAGCATTAATCTCCTTCCTGAAATGAATTACTGAACAAGCATTACCTTACAAATTTGTGTAAAATATTAGCGGAACACAATAGACATATTTCCATGTCACGGTTTTCAAAACGTAGCCCAGGCTCGCTGACCCTCTGTAAATATGCAAATGATTAGGGACCAGTATCGCCGTGCGATGCACCGGAAGAAAGGTGGTCGCATGAAGATGGCTGTCTCATAATAGGTTGGTTCCAGCACTTAAAGTTAACAGATATTAGAACACGACAAGAAAATATTTAGAACCTCTTGGAACACGACTAATTATAATTTTATCACTTATTGTTATGTAGGTAACTCTAAATCAGTTCAATTGAGATACATCCATTCTGTTTATGAACCCACCCATGGTCTGCACACATGGCTACCGCACCGGACCCAGACGAGGTGCTTCGTTCCACGGATGGAAAAGATAAATTCCAACGAATATCGCGTCTGCTAATTAGTGGAGGTACTACACTACTTAGGGAGGTGTTTGATCGGACTTACCCACCATCACGTCTTCCTTCAAAATTAAAAGATCCAAATACAAAGAAGCAGCTTAAAGAGGCAAAGCTCACAAAGCCACAGCGAAACTGCCTGTACCCCTCCCCGGGGACGTATGGTGAGTCAAAAGATTTCGATATTACTCTGCTCTTCGCTTTGCTAAGGACAATATGCAACCTCCCCCGTCCAAGCAAGGGCTGGGATATTCTACCAGCTCCCGCCGATCACAGTTTAGTTGCAGAATTGGCAAGAATTAAGCATTACAGGAACGCGGTGTATGGCCATGTAAAGCGAAACGTGGAGATTACAGATGACGAATTTCTACAGCTTTGGAAGGACATCGGCCAGGCTCTGATAGGTGTCGCAGCATACCTTGGCTCACCAAGCAAATGCGACTGGCAGACGAAAATTGACAAGTTATTGAAGGATCCCCTTACTGCTGAAGATGAAAGAAACGTACAGGAACTGCAAGAATGGTATAAAAAGGATGAAGACATCAAAAAATCCTTAGATCAATTGGTAGATACAACCCAAAAAGGGAAAGACAGTATAGAAAGGATGGAAAAAAACGTTGAGGAGATCAAAAAATACTTGAGTGAATTGTATGAGCTTAGGCCAAATTCTTGCGAGAATTGTACTTGTACTGGTAAGTTTTTAAGATTCGTTATAATTTATCTCTTGGGTGTTTCTTTTTTCTTGAATTGGGACTACAGGAACTGAGAAGTCTTACGATTCCTCGACAGAAATATATGTAGAAAATAGATATAGAAGTCCTACCAAGGGTGGTCGTTTAATAAATAATTTATTTTACAGTTTTTTTAATTATCGAAGAATATATCATGGGCTTTTTTTCAGTTTCATTATAACAATGTTTTTGTTTTTCACATGCTTCCAATTAACAGATGCAGCTATACTTCCGGTGAAGTTGAGTTGTGAGATCTACGCACACTCAGATCAACAAGGGGACCTTTGCGGAATGTCAGTAAATGGAGATGCTTCGCGTGCTACTGCACAGGAGGTATTGAATCAAATTGCGAAAAGTTATTTGCAGATAGTTGAATCATCCACGAAAAAAGAGTGCAATGAATTTATGGAGTATCTAACGAGGATGGGGAAGGTGTTAGTTGTAGACGTCATAAAAGGGAGCTTGATGATCAAAGTGGGATGCCGATCTGTGCAGATATTGAGTGACTTGTATATAGACTTTTTAACAGGTCATTTAAATGCACTGGCACAAGAACACCTTGTGACAGAGAGGGTTCTTACCAAGTTTGCCCTTATGGAAGCAAAACTCACTACAAACATTTCAGAGAACGAGTACAGAAATTGTCGAAAGCAATTAAAGGCATATGCAGGTGAGTGTGGGTTATGATATTAAACAACTTCAGCTCCAGCTTTCCAAAAAATTAATGCTGATTCAGCTGATTTATTTTGGGTTCGCTTTATCCTTGATATACTCGAGTTAGCGCGAAAGAAAGGAAACACCTTGATTCCGACAAGCACGAGGTTTTCTAGTATCTAACTACGTACTTTTTTCAGGTTTATAAAGGTTCCAGCCCATTGCAACTTCGATCGCTCCCACCTTACTCAGTTTGCCCCATATATTTTAACTTGCAAAGGTGGTAGGGGCGAACTTGTAATGGATCGAAACCTCCAGATACCCTTTGTTATAGTTAAAGAAACAGTATACTTCAGAAACCGTATGATTTTTATCTCTATCATTAAAAACATTTTAATTTTTTACACTAAGTAAATTTTGAGATTACCAAGAGTAACCTGAACTTCCCAAAATTGTCTTCAAATATAGTAAAATTTAACTGCCATAGTGGACGCCGCCGTTCTAAAATTTTGCTCAGCAACCATGCCGGATAACTTGTGACCTAACAAAGTCTCGGCGGTTCTGGGGGCGGCGCTATGTTCCCTTAAGTGTCTTCAACATGGCAGTCTCCGTAGTCGAAGTTTCGAGCAAATTTTCAAGAATTATTTGGATTCCATGTTAGTGGGCCAAGCGGTTAATTCTAACCGTTCCTGTTCATTTGGGGCCATAATACTTCGAGCAATTCGAAGCTGCAACATTTCCCCGGGCAACCCCCTGACCTTTTGAGAATTGGTTTGTTCAATTCCCGTCTCCCGGAAATTGTGTTCAAATTCAAATGCTCTGCCCGTGCCGGATTTAATGGTCAATTTTTGGATAACAGGCAAAATCAGCGTCCGTGAATTCTGCTCATTCGCCAAGCTTAAAACTTGAACATTGTAGAACTTTTCTTCTGAGCCATTCGCTGGCGAAAGTGTACTCTTTTAACACCTCTATATAAAAAGATACAACAAGTGTATCCCGCTAGAAAGACTTTAAAAACTTCCAGTTCCAGTTCCCCACCCCACCAGGGAAGGTTCAAATTTCCCTTCCCTCGAGCCCGGACGACAGACCAATGCCCGTGGGTTGCCCAGAGGGGATTTTGAAACTTCGAATTGATCGACGTACAAATGGACCGTATTTACGAGTGGATTTAACTACTTATTCAAGTTACACTGTTTTGGATCCTTCAGAGTTTGGATATTATTAAAAAAAAACTTGAACTCAACAGTATCTGCAAAAATCATCTTTTTTTCCTTACAGTCCTGGAGCCGAAAGTTCTTGACCTAAAGAACCGTCGAGATAAACTCCAGGAGAAGTTCCTCGAATGGGTTAAAGTTAGAAAAAAAATCAGAAGTTTACTTGAAAGACCGCTCCAAGATCGTAGAATGTACTCCTGCAGTACTTTTCATTGGCTTGTGGCCTTAGTCGCTGTAGGATTAATGGCAGCAATCAGCACTTTTGACGTGTTAGCCGCCGACGAAGACATTGGCTTAGGTGTAGTGATATGCATAGGCTTGTGGGTATGCTTAGGGTTGGCCTTAAGCGCAACCATAGCCTCAAAACCAGGTTCTAATAAGGAAAAAGATCTTGGAGATGACAAAAACGCCTTACAAAAAGTTTCGTCAGATGCCCGTCTCCTCGGGAAATGTGTGGCTAGCCTTTCTATTTGTTGCCGCAACCACACGGAGCAAGTGCTAACGAGCAAAGTTATGGCAAGGGAATTCCCATTTTTAATTGACATTCTACGAGAATCAGGGTCAGAATTTCACCGTGAATCGAAGTCAATGCTGCAAGCGCTGATCAAAAGAGAGTTAAACATTCATTCTAAGGGATTTCAATCTTTACTGACCACCAACAGGGAAATCCTACAGGAGCTGCATGAAGGACCAAGTCAGGATGAGATTCAGGAAATGATCGTGGATTTTATCAAAGTAGAATTCGATAAAAATCGTCTTAAATTTCATCAAACAAGTCCTTTTCTATCCCACTTCCATTAGGACCGGTAACTCATGAAGCTCGTTAGGAATTGTCAAGTTTACAGACGCTAAGTCGTTCTGGTCTGGTTCTAGTTTACGCGCTCAATTAAAGAGGCCTGTAAAATATCGCATCGAGCACCGTGCTGAACAGAGTAAGACGCATAAATTATGAGTGATTATGCAATCGGAACCATGTGGTTACTCAATATTTGCCACGCAAGATACGGCTTCGTCGAACTGCGTCAGCCTTTAGTTTCAATTTTCAGCAACCATCAAGAGTGACTTTTGACCATAAGATAGACTGCGGCAGGAATATCATAGCACCTAGTTGCTGTGTACGATAATTGAGTAGAAATCCGCCTGGCTTAATTACAATTGACCATTTTAGTTCCCCTTACACCACTGCTTCAGACAATATTCATTTCTTTAGTTGACTGTAATTTCGTACTCTCATTTCCAAAATGTAATCGGTTTTGGGTTAGTAAAATTTTCCAATTCCTGAATAATTTCAGTGACGGTAGAACTTTAAGAATGCCAGGTTGTGAAAATGGTAAAAATAAAGGGAAGATAAATTGAATGCGTCGTACCCATTTCTACCACGATGCAATCACACAGCTGTGGTAGTGTGATTACAGAAAAAATTATGGAAACTTCGGTTTTGGCGATCTGTGCCTGCTGATTATCAAAATCGCTTTGAAATAGCCACATACATTTTCAATTACGAGACAGAGTCATTCATAACTTGGTAATTAACAGTAAGTTGCAAAATCCTTCGCTATGTCCCTGTTAAGAAGAAAGTGCCGAACAGGCGTGTCGTGCAATTAGCGCGCGCGCTGAGACATTTAACGTTGATCAGTCGTGAGTAAGTTACGCTTACGATTTCTCGCGTGTGTTGTCGCAGTTTTAGTCACATTTTTTAGTGGCATTTAATCGCACTTTCTTCTTAACAGTCCCTATAAAAATATATCAATTTCTCTCTCGAACAAAGCAAGAGACAATGTAGGAGCTCAACCATTTGAACTTTAAAACGCGCAACTTCATGTCAGGCAAGGCAAGCTTCATTATTCGCAGCTGTCAAGTAAGCTTACGAACAAGAGTAACGGTATTACAACAGTGACAGATTGTTAAAGAAAAGAGCTATATCACAGTGTCGAATCCAGTGCTAGACTGCAATTCATTCTTCCCAGAGAGAGAGAGTTCTAAAATAGAATAGCAAATACACAAATCTTTTGTCTGTATAGAGTCCGAGTAGCGTGCGAAACTTGAGGTCAATCTTACTTAACATGTGCACTTCCTGTGCGTGCCGAATAGAGAATGAGACTTGTAGTCAACCTTGATTGACATGTGCGTTTTCTGAGCGCACCGAATAGGGGGCGATTAGTCATTCTCACTCGACATGCGAGATTTCTGAGCGTTTTCTGTGCGTGCCGAATAGAGTGCGGGACTTAACGTAATCTTTCTTGACATGTGCGTTTCTGTGCGTGTCTAATAGAGTGCAAAGCTTGTAGTCAATTTCACTTGACATGTAAGTTTTCTGTGCGCAGCAATTTCATCTTACTTGACATGTGCGTTTTTGTGCGTGTCGAATAAAGCATAAGACTTGTGGTCAATCTCACTCGACATGTGCGTTTTCTGTGCGTGCCGAATAGAGTGCGAGACTTGAGGCAATCTTGCTTGACATGTGCGTTTTTTGTGCGTGCCGAATAGAGTGAGACTTGTAGTCAACCTTGATTTGTGGTTTTTGAGCGCACCGAATAGGGGGCGATTAGTCACATGACATGCGAGATTTTGTTCTGTGCGTGCCGAATAGAGTGGGGACTTTAACAATCTCACTTGACATGTGCGTTTCTGTGCGTGTCTAATAGAGTGCAAAGCTTGTAGTCAATCTCACTTGACATGTAAGTTTTCTGTGCGCACCGAATATAGTGCGAAAGTCGAGGCAATCTTACTTGACATGTGCGTTTCTATGCGTGCCGAATAGAGTACGAGACTTGAGGTCAGCCCTACTTAACATGTGCGTTTTGTGCGTGCCGAATAGAGTACGAGTGTTGTAGTCAACCTCACTCGGCATGCGCGTTTTCTGTGAGTGCCGACTAGCGTGCGAAACGTGAGGCAATCTTGCTTGACATATGCGTTTCGTGCGTGTCGAATAGTCGGAGTGCGAAACTTGAGGCAATCTTACTTGACATATGCGTTTCGTGCGTGCCGAATAAAGTATGGGACTTGAGATAAGCCTTACTTAACATGTGCGTTTTTTGTGCCTGCCGAATAGAACAGGGAGACTTGTAGTCAATCTCACTTAACACGTGCGTTTTGTGCGTGCCAAATAGAGTACGAGTGTTGTAGTCAATCTCACTTGACATGTGTGTTTTCTATGAGTGTCGAATAGCGTGCGAGACTTGAGGCAATCTTGCTTGATATATGCGTTTCGTGCGTGCCGAATAGAGTGCGAGACTTGAAGACAATCTTGCTTGACATGTGTGTTTTCTATGCGTGCCGAACATTGAGGCAACTTTACTTATCATATGGGTTTTCTTAGTGTGCTGAACAGAGTGGGAGACTTGAGGATAAACTTACTTCACATGTGTGTTTTCTGTGCGTGTCGAATATTGAGGCAACTTTGCAAGACACTATAAATTTTGGTTACTCGGAGGCCTAGAGCTAAATACAGTTGTAAGTTTCTATAGTGAACGACACAATTCTTTTTGGAAGATAAAGTTGGTATTAATCAAATTAAACTGACTTCTTAATTCTTCACAATAGGGAGAAAGCATCTCTTTTGTTACCTTTATCTTTTCAGCTGCAACTGGATATTCATTATGAAGATCATGTAATTCTTCAGAATATTCCAAGTCAACTTCAAGAATGACTCCTCGTTCTGAATCTTCCGTAAGATTAGCTAAATCTCGAATTGTAAATTGTTTAAGCCATTTAAAACCTCCTGTTGGTAAGGCTTGAATCAAGCCCATCCATAAAGATTATTAGCATCTAGATAGGTGATATAGATGTCTCTGTTTCGGTGTTATAGTCTTGCATACACTTATTATTAGCCTTGGCATATCGATGAGCAATATATGAGATACCTCCACGTGTATCCTTCTCAATAAATAGTTGCATATCTACATCACTAATTAATTCTAGCTTTACTCCAGTTATCTTCAACATAGCATCCCAAGCGAGTCCGGGTGAAGTAAAGTAATGACATGGACCTAAGCCATAATAATTGAGACAAGTCTTTTTGAAGTTTTGGAAGACGTCTGCCAACAAAATGATATCAGACCTTAAATAGAGATCATGGTACTCACCCATATCTCTGAGTGAAAAAGTCTTCCATACATTTTGAGCATGCTCATATTCTCTTTCGCTTATATGAGTATCATTCAATAAGCTATAAAAATCTTCACTTCTGGGTAACTCTTTTTCATTGAATTTAGCAAAACTGTCCATGTAATCCATGTATGGGTAGACACCTTTTTGTTGCATTAATCTAAACTCTTCTTCTTTTTGAAATTCGTTTTTGGTAAATTCAATACAAAAAGAAAATGCGCTGGTACCCGCATTTCACTAACTACTCAACTTTACTTACTATATGCGTTTTCTGAGAGTGCTGAATTGAGTGGGAGACTAGTAGACAAACCGTTTGTCTTACTTGACAGGTGCATTTCCTATGCTTGCTGAATAGTGTGTGAGACTGGATTTAAATCATAGATGACATATGCGTTTTCTGAGCGTGCCAAGTAGAATGCGAGACTTGAAATCAATCTTGCTTGACATGTGTGTTTTCTGCGCGTACTGAATAGTGTAAACTTTGAGGCAATCGCACTAGACACATGCGTTTTTCTGAGTGCTAAATAGAGTACGAGACTTGAAGTCAACTTGCTCGACATGTGCGTTTTTTTGTGCGTGCCAAATAGTGTGCGAGACTTGAGGTAATCTTACTTAACATGTGTGTTTCCTGTGCGTGCCGAATAAAGTGCCAGACTTGAGGTGAATCTTTCATGACATGTACGTCTTCTGTGCGCGTTGAATGGAGTATGAGAT